TGAAAGCCAATTGATATCAACCCTAGAGCAGTTTGTTTGCGGTGTGATTTTTTTATGTGTAGTCACAATGGAAGAGCAAACAGGTGCAGGTGTACAACTACATCAGTAAGTATTCTTCTAGATCAGTGCAATACTGCACCCAAAGAAGTCCATGATACTGTTTAAAATCTCTGTTTGAAAGCTAACCGTTGACTGAAGGTGCGAATATTTTCACCACAACTGATCCCTAGACTGGATTAGCAGTATGAATGTGTCCTAAATCTAAATTAAAGTATGTATGTTTTTTTCCCCACTGACATTCTCCAGTAAATCTGATTGAATTTGAGAAAATTTGCAAAGAAAAACAAGAAGAAGCTTGTTTGTGTTAAAATGTAGTTAAGACTTTCAAGTGTAGTTTGTGGAAGCAGGAAGACACAAGAGGTTTGGATATTTTTGCAGCGTGGTAAACAGTGTGTAAACTTGCATTTCTAGTAAAGAAAATAAGCTGTTTTCTAAGGAAAACATTAAGTATTCCCTAAATTCAAAAGCAAAAGAAAGTATACGCCTTAGAAAGACCAACTCTATGGCTTTAAGTGACCCACCAAAACATTTTATGTCTGAGAAACACATTTTTTAAATAACTAACATGACTTACGGCTTCTAAGGAACATACGTCAGAAAGATTCAGCAAAATGTTTTGCACTGCAGATACTTCCCAGAGACCTTCTCCTTCTGTTGAACTCTATCTCCCTGTCATGCAGAGCATGTTGGTTAACTGATACTAGATCACGTCTACAGCGTGCAGCAGCTGATATGTCTGTGCCAGCTGCACATTAATGTTCCTTTCAGGCTGAGGTTTCTGCCCCACAGCCATCAGCCAAAGGTCAAGACATACAGTATGTAGCACATGCAAATTTGCATGGCTCATATATATTGACTTGTAATACACAGGAGAGAATCAACAATGCAACATACATAAACCCCACCGAACTTTAAATATGCATTCCATCATCTCTTATCTATTAGGAGTTAATGAGTGAACAGGGAGAGATGTAACAGTGCAGCAGAGATCGTTTGGCTTACGGACAGTTCAGAGTTTCATGTTGCATCATTTGAACCCTGCATAGCTCTTCCTGTCAGACGTCAGACACCTGTCCTCGATCAGTGGGAGGGTCGACAGGGTCATGCGCATCATTGTTATCGTCACTCTGCATTAAGCAGTGGCGGTGGTGGAAGGTTATGGATCATCAGAGAGCCTTGTCACTAGTTGTTGGAAGAGGATTTAGAAAAGGTCTTTGCAGGAAACAGACAACTTTTTTGTCATTAGTTTGCCATTTTTTAAGGGCGCTCAGTACTGACATGTAAAAAAGTACAAATAATGTTTTATTTTATTTTATTCCAATGGTCAAGTTGTGTCTTGTATTACAAATTTTAAATGTTTTGATAAAAAAATGCACAAATCTCTTATCTACGAGGTCATCGCTACAACTCTTTCACCAAAACGATAAATTTTCAAAAATAATTCACAGAACGTCTAGAGTGATGCAGAATAAAACTCTTCATTTTACTGATAAAATATGCAGTATGGAAATAACTGTCGTACGGATTTTGTAGGGGCCATTTATGCAAATATTAACAATGCCAGCATTGGCTGGAAATGATTCCCCACTAATACAAACAGCAGGTGGAACTACTCTCATCTTTAAAGCTACAGTGTGTAATTTTCAGCGACATCTAGCATCCAGACTGCAGACCGCAGCAACATGAACATCTCCCCCCCACCGCTTCTCCCCCCAAACAGTAC